TAAATAAGAAGAAAGCCTTTGAATTCCTATTGAAACAGCAATGACTTAAAAAAAAACAACAAATTATATTACTGTATGTAAAAAATAGAAATAGCAATATGTATACACATATATATGTACTCAATCTCTACATCAAAAATAATTCTTACATGAGTTATGTATTTTTAAGAAAGAGAAATCCATAAATTTTATCTGAATTATTCTAAAGAAAACAGCAGTGAGATAAAGACAAAACTGCATTCCTAGGCGATCCTATGCATGATTAAGAAGATTAAGAGTTACAGATTACAATCCCATATTCCATTAACACTGTCTATTCCATGTGCTTTGGTGTCTTTTTATGGAAATAGTGTTGTCGGGGTAGAGAGCATAGGGAGGACGGTTCTTTTCTCTTAGAATAAATTAAATGCTAGGGTATGTTATCACAAGCAGTAGGAGACAGATCATTGCTAACATCAGGTAATACAGATTTAGGTCAAAACAGGCTATTGGCTTTAAATCAAATTAGACAGGTGTTGATTACCCCAAAGATAAAAGTGCCACTACTGCACCAACAGTGGTAGTTTGCTGGGCCAGTCATTGCTGTTGATTAAGGTTTTCTAGGTTCGTAGGATCATTTATTTGTTTTTCTCCCTTGGCAGCTTGTATAGTATCTTTGATACCATGAGAGCTAGTCTTCAATGAGGAGGCTTCCGGGTCAGTTCCAGCATGATTACTCCAAGTCCTGTGTCTGAAATGTGGCCTGTCTTCAGCAATAGGGTTTTACCTTCAAGTTCTGGGAGGCAATCAAGGGCTGTGGCAATAACCTGTGTTATTTGAGGGGGGGCATCTTTTGGACTACTCTAACCAACAACTCAAAAGGAGGTTTCTCCTGCCTACCACTGTTTTTTGTTATATAGTCTTCAGCTATACACATGCACTCATATATTTATTGGATGTGTATTATTCAGTAGTACTTCAAACTAATACATTTTCCTCTGGTTTTTCAAACCATCCAAGTATTATTTATCTCTCCTCTCACTCTACCTGTCTAACACCCCCCCAGCTCCTCTCCAGTTAAAGTAACCCTCTCTTTTCCCCCTTCCTCCCTTAATAACACTTATCTCCCACTATTCCCCTCTCTTGAGTATCTTCTTTCCCTTTATCTCCATGGTTGGATATCTATACTCACATCTAGGGATTCGGAGGACGGAATTCATATATGGTACCATAAACATAGCCAAATGCACATGTTTGGAAATGTCATAGATCCTAGAGAAAACCTTACTTCTGACACATCCCTAGACCAATGTAATTTCTTACTGTATGCTAAATATGCATCCTCATATTTACCTCAAGTGTACCTTTCACTCCTCATCAAAGAAGCTTCTTTTTACAACAGATTGAGACTACTAATAGAGTTCCAGAACTGGTCAAATGCAGAGACTTAAGTGTCTGTGAGACACTTAACCCTAATGACACTTCTTCAATGCAACCTCTACACATAGGATGAACGAATCTCTCAACTCTCTCCAGAGAAGTTTCCTTATGCAGCAGATAGTGATTAACACAGAAACCCACAATTGGCCAATGTGCAGAGGACAAGAGTTCACAAAGTGCTTATTCATGAGTAGGACAGCTATTTCAAATGTCTGCCTACCAATACTCAAGGATCATTGAGAAGCAGAGGTGGAAAGAGTGCCAGAGCCAGAGGTGGTAGATGACCACAAGGAAACAGAGTCTTCCAGACAGCTAGTGTTACTCATACGAACTCACAGCAACAGCGAGATCAATCATAATCCCTATACAAGCTCAAACCAGACAAAAATCCCCACATAGTCATGGGAAAGTGGTTAGGAAATTCCAACTCAGCCTAGGGAACTTTTGACAATTGATGGCTTCTATGAGAGTAAAGACAGTCTCCTATGGTGAGGGGACTTTTGGTGGGCCTAGTGATGGGCCCACAATGAAGGACATATAGGGGACACAAATCAGACTCTATTGGCATCTATCTATTTATCAATCATCTATCTATCTATCTGTCTATCTATCTATCATGTCATCTATCTATCATCTATCTATCTACCTATCTATGTATTATCTATTTTTCTATCTATATATCTATCTCTATCATCTATCTATCATCTATCTATCTATCATCTATCATTCTATCTATCATTCTATCTATCTTCTGTCTATCTATCTATCATCAATCATCTATCTATCTTGTATTATCTATCAATCCTCTATCTATCTATCTATCTATCTATCTATCATCTATCTATCATCTATCATCTACCTATCTATCATCTATTTATCCAGAGAACACATTAAATTGCATAAAGGGCAGAAGTGGGAAGGTATGGTGGATAGGGGAGGGAATTTAATACCATCAAGCTATAGTGTATGAAAATCCACAAAATTTATTAAAAAATAAAATTACTTTTTAAAAAGAAGCTGTGGGTCCAAGGAAGATTACTATGATATGTACTTTGTGATTTGCAAAATAGATTTAAAGAAAAGTCTTAGTTTATTAGTAACAAAATTCCTCTTAGGAATTCTAAAGGTCTCTTGCCCGAAACCAAAATCTGGGTATTTCTATCATCATTACACAGTATTTCTAAGGCTCTATGCTAAAAAGAGGAAATATGTTTCAGGGTCAAAACCAGAGAATACTATGACATTTCACTATTACTTTGTCAGCTATACAATTATTCATTTTAAATTACCTAATAAAAATCCAACAACATATATGGCCACGCTTTCATTCCTAATAGAAAAATATGTATTTACAGATACCTAGTTTAGTAGAATCATTTGTTCTGATTTGATTTAATTACCCTTAAATCATGTTTTTGACAGTTAATATTCTAATTAAAAAGTACAGATGAGTTCTAATGGATATAAAGAATTTTTGTATCAAATATTTTTCTCCATGTAAGCAGTAAAAATTTGATAACAAGCCATCATCATATCTGTCACTTGAAAATCTGTTTATCTTGAGTATAGCCAAAGAGCATCCAGAAAAGTTATTTCTGAAATAAAGAAGAGACTCTTGGGCTGGGGATGTAGCTCAGTTGGTAGATAGCTTGCTTGGCATGTAGAAAATGCTGGTTTAATTGCAATACTACATAAAAATTACATAGTGAGTTTGAGGTCACCCTGGTCTATATGAGACATGACAAAAAGAGAGAAATTTTATTTAAAGGTAGAATACTTGTCTACTCTTTATACCCAGCTTGTTAATTGCTATAAAAACTACACATAGATATGTCTTGTACCATACTTAAAGTCTGTAACAGTCCATCGTTAATTGTCAATTAAAAATGGTTCTATGCCTATTAATTTATGCATTTGGTTAGGGCGGAGTTGGAGGGGAGGGAGTGGGCATGGATTTGATCAAAACATCTTATACGCATGTATGAAATTCTTAATAAATTATTTATTTAAATAAAAAGAAGTTTGGTGCCTAATTTCCACACATTAAAAAAAATTACAACAGGAAGATGGGCGTGGACAATGGGGAGGTGGATGGACAAGGACTAGATATTATGATGCATGTGTGCAGATGCCAGAATAAAATCCATTACTTTGTATGCTAACCCAGAAAACAAGTGAAGCAAATACAAGAGATAAAAAATTAGAGTAATATTAACACAGAAGAGCCACAAGATAGTTATAAGTGGAAAAGAATATAATCTAAACTTATATTTCAATTTTCTTTTAACATTTACTTCTTGCTATGTAAAGCACTTGATATTTAAAAGATTTTACTGTTGATATTTTAGGTAGAAATTTGTGATAAAGGAATAGTAAAGCTCAACAATTGTGAGCGGTTTTAGACTTTTAAGTTATGAAATATATATTCCCCTTGCAGGACGAAGACACACTTCTTGTGTTTTCATGGGTTTTTATTACTGAATGTTCTTAGAATATACCTGTGGGTTTATTACTGACATTGGCGTCTTACTAAAATAAGGAAAAATTACTGTTCTTCCTACCAAATAAATCAGCTTAAAACCTTTGGTTACCTTCACACATCACTGTAAAACAGTGTGGTATGTATTTAGATGCACATGCATCTCTTTGCAATTTGCACATCATAATAAACTACTCAAGCTGGATAATGCAAAATGCCAGAGTCGACTGTTTTCTCAAAATCGCTAGCATGGCACTGTGTCAGCATGTGTTTTAGTCACTACTCATCCCTAGAGTAAATTCTAAAATGACTCATAAACCTTGCAAATACTGTGTCAGTGCTTGCAAGCATTTGGAATAATTTCCACACTGGTTGAAAAACAATATTTTACTTGTAAACAATGCAAATCTGCAATGTTTCACTGTCCTGGATGGATTTGTCACCAGTTTGTGTCTCCCCTCTTGGGGAACCCTCCTCCTCCTCCCACTACTGACACTGTGCCCCAGAGAAATGCAGTGATTGCAAGTCTACATTTCTTACAATTACTGCCTATAATGCCTCACTCTGCACAGGTTTTGTAGTTGCTAAGGTCAATATCCAAATCAAAATCATTTATCTTTAGTAACTTACACTATAATTTACTACAGGAACAGATATTTTGTATCTAAAATAAGATCAACTAAAATGAGAACTGAAGATATGCTATGTGTAGCAGCATAAGTTAGGAGTTAGGTCAGAAATAGGATGCTTATAAACAGTGTCATTTAAGAGATATCCACCTTAGTCTTTCTTCCACTATATTCTCTAGAGTACTTATCCCACTCCATCTGTCTTGAATCTGTTCTTCCTGGTTATTGGCACCTCTGCCTATGTTTTCTCTTCTACAGACCCATGTATTCAATCTGTCACATTCTGAGTATCACAAGTCCACCTGAGCTATGCCTTATTACTTCTCTTCAGCTTTGAATCTTAAGCAATTATCAGTGGAGAAGATCACCTCTAGTTTGAAGACCACAATATTACAATAAAATATGTTATAAATTAATAAAGATACACCCTTCAACTTCTACTTATCTCTTCCACAAAAGAATTCATTTCTCACCTCTCTCCGAAGAATGCAGTGGACCATGACAATAACAAAGCCTTGCAATGAATCAAACACAGCAAAAAGTATTTGAAACAATATGGAGCGTTTGTCAGTCATGGCCAGAACTGCAGACATCCATGTCAGAGCCAGAAGGGGTAATACCACACAAGAGCTCCAAAGAGAGGCCCTGTTGAAAGACAAAGGAAAGTATTATTACGTAGCTGCATGTTAAGCTCCAGGCCATAACCAAACCCCCCATTCATTGTTCAACAAAGCATTCTTGTGTGTGGAACCAAGACCATTAACTTGGAAACCACAAAGCAGATAACATCTGAGAAATTTATCTATTACAGACTACCCCACAATAATTATAAAGACAGTTGTCAATTATAAATACTCAAATATTAGCAAACACAATTTTTTTCATCATAGCATTTTTTCACATGCACTGTAAAGATTTGTAACAAGAAGATGTAAATGATTGGGACTAACATGGCATTACTGGCGGTGGTGGCTGACAAAGCTGTTGTAGAAACTACTCCACACTTGGCACATTTGAGCGTCAAACCGCTATGAGGCTCACTCATCTGACTGCAAACAAACAGAACACCCACAAAAAGAACAAAATATTGAATTGTCACCAAAAATGTTGCAGCTGCAAGTTAGCTTTTAAATACTATTCATGCAGAAAAAGTATATTTATCAAGAATGATTGCTCTAGATCATTTTAAAGATACAATTATACCACATGTTGTCACTGTAACATTCACCTTTTAACAATGTGGGCCTTTGTGGCATGCAAAGCATGTTTCTAACGCTTACACCACAGATGGTCCTGTGTCTATGGATCAATATTGGTGCATTGAGTTAAACATATGCGTGTGCTTGTATAGACATACAGTGAAAACCCTCTATTCAGACCCAAACATGTGAGGATTCCAAGCTTCAGATTTTTGTTGTCATTTGAAGATGGTATATATATTAATTAAGACCTCCAGAAATATCAACATTTATCACAAATGTATCATATATGTATATATATTCTTCAAATGTAAGACATCCTAGTTTGTATCTTAACAGATTCATATTTTGAAATTTCTTATAGCACCAATATACTATCTATATTTTAGGGTGATCTGAATATAGGGGCTGATGAAATTTGATGAAATATTAGTTGATAGTAAAGAAACAATTCTCTCTGTAGTAATAAAACACATTCAACATAATGATTAAGTTCAAGGCATTCTTTCTAAATATTTGCCATAGGCACCAAACATGGAACATTTAAAAGTCTCTGCTGCTCTAAGAGATTTCATAAGTAAATTCAGAATCAAATAATTTAGATCTTAGCTATTGTATTATAGAAGCAAAAAAAGGCTACACAGAAAAACTTCACATATACTTTCCATAAGGAATTCTTCCTTGAAAATAATGTGTTTATTAGAATATAAGCCTCTTAGGAAAACATAAAAGAAATTACTTGTAGTGAAATTTAAAACATCTGGAAATAATTTTCTGGGATTCCCTTCTCTAGTCCATTCCCATGTGGTATTTCTGTCTAAAATGTCCGCCCTGTATGTTTTAAAAATAATATTATAAGCCAGTCATGGTGGCACATGCCTTTAATCCCAGCACTTGCAAGGCAGAGGCAGGCAGATCTCTGTGAGTTCAAGGCCAACCTGGTCTACATAGTGAGTTCCAGGACAGCTGGGGCTACAGGGAGACCCTGTCTCAAAAAGACCAAATAGTAATAATAATAATAATAATGTTATAGCAAAGCTGTGCTGTTAATATATAAGTGGCAGAGGAAAGAATGCCTGATTTCTCTCAAGTAAATGTACTCATCTATGAATAGCGTTCAGGTGGGATAATAAATCTGAAGGCCCTTGCCATCGATTGATCAGCACATATCATGAGGAAGAACAAATCAAGCCTTTGCAGTTAGCTTGTAAATCACTTACTTTACTAATCTATCCCAGGGTCTATATAACAGGCACACATGTACTCAGACTTATCATACAATATGCAAGCAATAGCATGTCTAGCTTACTATGAATGGCTCCATGGGCTTGCCAACACTTCCTTCCAAAGTACTACCTAGTCCAGTGTTCTCTTAGTGACTGCACATAGCTACATTGCCCCATCTCCAACAGCTCTAGTTAAGGCGACCCAGGTGCCTATCTCTTTTAAAGCTTCATAGGTTATTCTGATGAACAGGGATACAACTGCCCCAAATATATAGTTGAATTTCTTTCTTGTTAAATTTGATTGTATTATATTAAAAGGCATAGATTCCTCATTTATTGTTTCTTTTATCACAGAAGATAGGTCATTTGATGGTTGTGCCTTGAACGTGGATGTAGCTGTTTCTCAATTTAAGAATATTCCCCCTCTGGACTCTGAAACAAGGTTGAAAACCAAAGATTATTTAAGGACCCAAAACAGCAAGTATTTTAGTACTGAAGAAGTGACTTAAGTAAGGGATTTTCTGACAAATTTAAACTAGTTTTCAAAGTGCTTATTTGTCTTTATTTGAGATCCATGGGTGGTTTAAAGGCTTGCACACGCTTTCCTTAGAGGAGACAGTTTGGAAGCTCTGGCCTCCTATGGATGGGAATGGAGAACAATCAGAGTGCGTTATTAAGTAAAATGTAATTTTTTCCTAGTTTAAATGATCCATACATAAATTAATGACATACAGAAAACATAATCTAGAGTCTAAGCTAAGTTATTGCAATGTAAAATGAAATGCTCTCAAGGAGAAACTTCATGAAATGTATAAGGGTCTTGCTAAGTTAATATCCTTAATTCCAGGTATGTAAGACAAAACAATTTAATTCAGTAAATAAGAAAACTCCACTGAAGAAAAATAAAAAAATATGTTCCCCAAAGTACATACATTATAGTTTATCTTCTTTTTACTATTTCCTA